TTTCCTAATTAAATTTTCTAGTGAAATGCGCATAAATTTCATAAAATTCACTTCATGCCGTTGGGCGTGGCAAGCGCTCACACGCCGCCTTCTACCTCCCTCCCTCCCTCTCTCTCCCTCTCTCTCTCTCTCTCTGTCTCTCTCTGTCTCTGTCTCTGTCTCTCTGCCTGTGTGTGTGCTGTCGCCTTTCATTTGCTGCGACATTTTTCGCTCTGGTATTTTCGTGTCGTCGTCTGCTTAAAGTAATTAACTAAGAAAATTTTAATTGCTAATATGTTGTGATGCATGTGCGTGTGTGTGTGTGTGTGTGTGTGTGTATGAGTCTGTGTGTGTCTGTGTGTGTGTGTGCTAGTCTGCATGCTGGCATGTGCGGCTGCTGTGCCTGTACATGTGTGTGTGTGTGTGTGTTTGGCATTGGGCGCCCTCGACTCGTATGTTGGCAAAACTTTCAATAATAAAGCTGTGTGTGCTGTGTGTGCTGTGTGTGTGAGTGTGTGTGTGTGTGTGTCTGGGTGCGATGTGTGCTGTGTGTGCATGTTTCTGTGTGTGCGTGAGCTCATTAAAAGTGCGCTGGCACAAGTGTAAACATACGAGAACAAAATTAATGTTGCCTACTTTTGTGCGCGCGGAAATAACTAATTTCGCACATTTGCTCATCATCCTAATTGCATAATTAGATTTTGTGCACAGTGTTGATTAGCGTCCGCTCACATCTAACCCACACACATATATATATATATATATATTTCCTACAGAGTTGCAAACAAATCGAATTTCAATAATTCCAAATTCCAATTAATAGAAAACATGCAATGCCCAAAATGAACTAACAACTGATTTATGCTATGCCGCAAAACAAATTAGTTAATACCTGAAATTAGTTAATCAATGCTGCAGCAAACTGAAATGTTATCAATGCTATGAAATTTTAATATGCTTCGAATTGAGTCAAATAGAAAATTTAATGAATACACAAATTTGATTAAGTTCTTGTAGCTGATGCAATTATTTTATTTTGATCACGGCATTATTGATATATATAAAACTGTTTGTCCTGATCGATTGACGAACTGACCAACTGACTAACTGACTGAATGATTGACTGACTGACTGATTGACTGGTGTACAATGTACAGCACAAATGTGATGGAGGTGCACGCTAAGACGACATTTTTGGCAATTCCACGCGCAAGTGTGGAAAAGTCGCGAAAAACAGTTTCATGAAACTCTATTGTTTACCATACGATATACCGTAAAATCTTTTCTCAAATTAATTTGAGGAGTGTTTCACGCTTTTTGGTAAATCCATTCTTCCTTGGTGGAAAGATTTGTTGCATGAATTTTCGTGAAATGAATTTCATTTCTATGAATCTTTATGAAAAATGATGTGAATCGTGTTTAACACCTTTCGCAGATTTTAAGCTTCCTCGGTAGAAAATAACTATACTTCTACTTTTATACTCATACTTATTTGCAAAGGCCTAAATTAGAGCTTAATGAAAACGTGTTTCATTGATTTGGTTAATTCCACCTACAATTGCGGAATATTGGCGGAAAATGTGCAACTTTTTTGTCTACCAGCGAATTGGCTTCAAACTTATTTTCAAAGATCTTTGTGAGCAATTTGTGATGAGTTTTTCGCAAAGTTTTTCGCGCTTGAATGGAAACTGCGAGTCAGAACGAAAGTTTGTTTTGCGGCTTCAAAATTCGCACAAGAACACAAACTTGCCACGCCCCAGCCCAGGAGATACCTGGTAGTATATATGCGTAGATATTCTTGATCAATGTCAACAGCCAAGTCGAATTAACAGCCAATTAATCGCTTAGTCTTAGAGCTAGGCTCGACTCTCTGTCAGAATCGATCGAATCACTCGACTATATCGTATAGCTGTCATGGTAAAGATCGATCAAAAACAAATTTCATCTATGAAAAACTTACTTAGCTATGCAATATATTTTTATACCCTGAACCCATTAAAAATGGGTATATTTGTGCAAAATCCAAATGTATGTAACAGGCAGAAGAAAGCATCTCCGACCCCATAAAGTATATATATTCTTGATCAGCACCAATAGCCGAGTCGATCTAGCCATGTCCGTCTGTCTGTCTGTCCGTCCGTCCGTCTGTCCGTCTGACCGTCTGTCAGAACCTATGAGCTAGAGACTGAAATTTTAGATGTAGGTGCTCCTAGTGTCTGCGCAGATCGAGTTTGTTTCCGATAATCGATAACATACTCCGTTTCCAAGCAATCGATAAAAATCGATATCGCTATCCTGTTTTTTGGGCAATTTTGGTAAATAATAAGAGCTAGAGTCACCAAACTTGACATATAGCTTCTAAAATAGAATATATATATATGCATTTGATGTTGGAAGAAGAGGGTTGAGGGTATCCCCTAGTCGGAAGCTCCCGACTAGAACCTCTTACTTGTTCCTTTTGAATTTCTACTCTAGATATTTAAGAGCTTCATAATTGTGCGCACATAACTGCAAGACCTTAAGCCATTTATACAAATTTCGCAGCTAGCCTTGTTTTATGTTTTAAATGGAAAATTTATGCCTCGAGCTGGACTCTAATCGGGTGGGGGGCATAAGGCTATTTGATATTTATCAATTATTACGCTCTACATGCAATTTCACAGGAATTGATTGCAAATTGTAATTCGAATTGAATGCCTGGGCACATAAATTGAACGTATTTAATACGCGCACACACACACACACACGCACACACAGTCACTATTAATGCTGATATTTTACTTGCGTATTTGGGGAAATTGCCTTTGCCGCATTTCGGTTTTGTAATTCAAAACGAAGCAAATCGCATTCATTACAGCGATTTTCACTTCAGTTCGCTGCATTCACAAGATGCGACTCCTTTTTTTTTTTTTTTGTTTTTATTTTTGTTTGCTTCACGCATATTTAGTGGAAAATACGCGTCGACTTGCCCGGGCCTGCCCCTCCATAAGAAAATAAAGCAGCAATATATGAGAAGGATACACGTCAGCGCTTCACTTGAATAACTCGACAGCGACAACAACAACAACAACTTCGACAACAACAACGACAACATAAATATGCTTCTACTTAATTTTTCATATCGAATTTCAATGCGAATTGGTTTTGGGTAAAGAGCGCACATGAGTATGCGGCATGTTTTCAGCATCTTTTTCATGCTCTTGCTATAGTTGTTGTTGTTGTTGTTGTTGTTGTTGTTTTTGTTGTTGTTGTTGTTGTTGTTTTTGTACTTTCCCTTAAAAAACACACTGTGACTGACGCTGACAAGACGCTGCTCTCCCCCCCTTTGTCTTGTCGTGCATGGTTTTCCGGGTGCTTCAATTGCTTCGATTTGCCTATTGAAAGGCATCGCCGATTTGCTGGCTCCTCGAGTCAGCCAAGTGGCGAGTCGGCAGCGCTGATCCTCCCCCTTTGAAACCTGCTCCTCTCAGGCCACCTTCTCGCAGATCATCTCCTCTCAAACCTCATTCTTCTCTCCAGCCTTCTGCTTCCCTCAAACCTCCTCCTCCTCCTCCTCCTCCTCCTCTAAGGCCTGCTCCTCATCTAAGTCCTCCTGCGCAACTCAAACACTTGCCAACTTAAAAAAAAAAAAAAGAAACAATTCATTGCGCGTCTGTCAACGCTCATCATCGGCATTTGCTGGCATCGCCTCAGTCTCGAGGTCCTCCAGACGGCTCACGGCTGCCGCTTTCACTTTCCCCCATTTCGAGCGGTTCATGACGATGTCAAGTGGCGTCTTCCTTGAAGGAAGTGCGAAACTAGATACAATTATTAAATATTTAAAATAACAGACAAACTCCCCTTCCTTCCCTAACCAGCTGATTGCCAGAGAGCAGTCAGTGGAAAGATAAACAAAAGAGATGAAAAATTAAATTCAACATAAAACAGAACCACTTGAAAGTCGCGCTTCAGCGCAGTCCAGAGTTAGGCAGCAGGTTATGCTGCTTGGTGGGGTGAGGAGGGGTTGGGTCTGACAGTGTGTAGGTCATGGGAGCAGCATTGAAAAAACGCTGTGAACTAATTTTGACAAGGAAGTGGCAACAGCGAGAGAGGGAGCGAGAGAGAATTGAATTGAATTGAAGTTGAAGTTGAAGCAGAAGTTGAACTAAAAGTGGGATAAGCACATGAATTAAAAGCGATTAAATGAGTCAAACGTTAGTAAGTATAACCGAAATAAGGCAAGTAACAGATGAGTTGAATGCTAATTGAATTGAAAGCGATATTGAAATGGATTTCAAGTAGCCAAATGTAAAAGTGCAGCCTAGTTCTGATATATTAGTATAAACTGTAAATATATACAGATAATAAAGATAAGTAGAGTGAGAGAGAGAGAGAAAGAAAGAGAGATACTTACACTGCAGGATTTGATTGAATATGAAACTGAGTTGAAGATAAAGTTGAAGTAGAAGTTGAAGTTGCCTTACAGACTAAATTTTAATTAACTGAGTTGAAGATGGATCCGACATTGAATTAGATGTTGAAACAAAATTCAATTCAATGAGTCATACGTAATGTTAATAATGTTGCGAAATACCAAAACGTGGTAGGTAACAAAAGGTTTGAATGTCGAATGAATTGAGAGCGATATTGAAACGGATTTCTAATGGTAAAGTATAAAAGTGTAGCTTGGTTCCATTCTATGAGTACAAAATATAAAGATCTACGCGAGATACAGAGAGAGAAAAGAGAGACAGAGAGAGAGAGAGAGAAGAGAGAGAGAGGGAGAGAGGGAGAGGATAGCAGTGCAAAAGTTAATTGAAACTGAAATTGAATTGAAGCTGAAATTAAACTGAGAATAAATAATAAAAGTGAGATTGAATTGAAACAAAACAAACAACACACTGCAAAGGTTTTTTTTTTCGTTGATTGACGCCTGTAATTCTCAACTAGTTAAGGCGTTGGGCGTGATTCTTGAACTAGACATACCATAAGTATAAACAATAAAATTGAACATCCTTAAAATGTGCTCATAACAATTGCAGGCTCGTTGGCTGTCAAGGACTTTGGCATGGATGGCCTTAACGGTTTTGGTGTTGGTCCCAATGGCAAGAAGAAGAAAAAGAAGCGTCGCCACAGCCGAACAATATTCACCAGCTATCAGCTGGAGAAGCTGGAGGAAGCCTTCAAGGAGGCGCACTATCCCGATGTCTATGCCCGCGAGATGCTCTCACTGAAAACGGAACTGCCCGAGGATCGCATACAGGTGAGTCACGCATTGAATAGACTGTGAAGATATGTGCATGAATGGACTTGAATGACTGGCCCGAAGTGCCGGGTAATTTGATATTATATTCATTGCCCAGCCCCCAGGGAATTGCTTAATGAATTAACGAACTAATTACATCCGTTGTGCAGTTGCGCTTAAAGGTGTTGCCCGTGTTGGCAAAACAAAGCAAAAAGCGATGAGAAACCAGACAAATTTCGCTTGGAGTTGGGCTCCAGCTTGTCGCTGGGCTGGGCTGGCAAGGACTGGCTGAGCTTGTATGTCAGGTATAAGGCAAGGAATTTGCATTTCCTTCTTGTCTCATTGTCTTTGTTTGGATTGTTCTGTGCTGATTTTTCACACCTCCATTGTGCGCTGCTTCAGCCAGACAAACAGACAAACAGACAAACAGACAGACGGATAGACAGACAGACGGACAGACACTTGGCCATTGTGATCAGCCTTGCACTGGTTAATACCCTGTTCGTTCCTAATAAGCAATCAACCTCAGCTGCGGCTCAAGTGCAGCTCCAACAGTTGCCCGACTGAGTCCTTGCCCGCACAGCCACGTCAGCCACGTCCTGCTCGCAGTTTGGGGGCTACACCAACAACAAAAAATCAGCTACGTTTGCGAATTTATAATTAAGCATTTTAATGGCCGTTATTGTTCTAGCTAAATGCCAGCCAGGGCAGTGCAAGCGAGACAGCGCACACCAGAGAGCAAGAGAGCGACAGAGAGGGGGAGATGGTGTGTGAGTGTGTGTGCGTGTGTGTGTGTTTGCTGTGTGTGCGCTTTCATCGAGTAAACTTGAACGCCGCCAAATTGCCACCCTTAAAAAGCTTGCGTATTTCATGCGCTCTCTCGCTCTCGCTCTCGCAATGTGTTTGATTAGCAAAAAAAAGAAATTTATGAAAAAACACACGCAAAAAATTGGTGTAATTATGGCGCGGTTACTTCAGTCCCTCTCCTGCAAATTCTCCCCTCCGTCCATGTACGAAATTTGCCCTTTTTACCCGCATCGAGTGCGCCACTCACAGGAAAGGGAACGGGAACAGCAACGGGAACGGGAACGGGAACAGTCACTGAAACTGGAACGGACTGCGGACTGGTTCGCGGTCTCGTCCCCTCCCTGCCTTCCAGGCAGCCGACTCAAGTGCCCAGGCACTTAGCTTAGGCTCAGGCTGAAGGCTTGACTTCGATTGGCGAAGGGGCGACTGCTTGGTGTACAGGAATTTGTGGTTAATTTATCGATAACGGTGCACAAACTATCGATAGCTTCAGTTGCCGGCACGATATCGAAGTACACTTTGATTAGTTATCGCTCAAATGTTATCGACATAAATTAGTTGTCTTATGTTGACTTCGCAATATAAATTTTTGTCAAACAGCTGATATTACAAATCGATAAATATCGTTCACGGAATGTGTAGCAAGTAGTTAGGTTTCGTTGTGGTTCTTTAAATATCGATAAATATCGCTTGCCAATCGCTGCCCGTTTTTTGCCATCTGTGCTGCCTTTGACTATGAGATCCAAATGTTGATTGTGCGTAGCAATCGTCCATCGCTAATTCACAATAAATTACAGCTCGCCTATCGATTAATTCAAATGCAGCTCTGCTAATTACATTCGCTATTTACTTGCATGCTTTAAGCATTATTAACTTACTAATCGACATCAACAAATCCTTTGCGGCAGCACACTCAGACCACACTTGCTCTCGCTCTCAGTCTCTTTACCGCTCTCTCTCTCTCTCTCTCCTTCTCTTTTTCTCTCTCTCTGTCTCACTCTGTTTGTGGCTTGCTCTTATTCTGACAAGCTGCAAGACTCTAGCTGAAAATTGAATTTCGAGTGTGTAAAATTTTCCAATTATAGACTTTGGAGTAGCACACACACACGCACACACACACGCACACACACACACACACACACACACACACACACACACACACACACACACACACACACACACACACACACACACACACACACACACGTATGAGTGGGCACTTTGACGGAGCTTGGCTTTGGCTTGCTTGGGGGCACATGAAGCACTGCTAAAAGCGAGTCCAATTAGTAGCATTACAACTAACACTTCAATTCTGGCCCAGAGACGAGCCAACGAACGAGCTTCGTTCTTCCCCTCTCCCCCTCTCCCCCTCTCTCTCTCTCTCTCTGACGGTCTTACGCACTTGCTCCTGCTCTCTCACTTACTTGGCAATAACGGCAATCGTCATCAGCAGCAACAACTGAGGCAATGGCGCCAAAGTACGGCCATTTTGTGTGTAACTGTTTTCGGTTGCAGGGTTGCCCAGGAGAGGGAGGGGCCACGGGGGGCGCAGAACTCGCCCCAGCGGGGTTGACTAGTGGCAAGACAGGGTGGGGGGGGGGGGAGGTACGATGCTTGGCGTAAATTTGCATTTAACGTTGTTTGCGGTGCCCGCAAATAGTCAACGACTTTCACTCTGCCAGAGTGTGTGTGTGTGTGTGTGTGTTGCTTACAGCATGTGGGCGTATGCTACACCCACACACCCACACACGCACACACACACACTCAAGCAGCTCAACAGTTAGACAACCACAAAATACTCTAAAGACCAAACGACCGCAGCTGAGCTGAATACGACCCCAAACACACTCGCATACACACGCACACGCGCACGCACACTCACACACAGCAAATAGCCTGCAAATGTCATGCAAAATAACGGCACTATTTGTCTCTCTGTCTGTGTGTGTGTGTGTGTGCGTGTGTGTGTGGATTCTGGCAAAAAAGGCTTTAGAAATCGACTTGATGGCGCCCCAAAAAAACTAACAACAACATCAGCATATAAGCACCACACACACACACGCAGAGTCAGCTTAGCACACACACACACATACATACACACACACAGCGCTGCCTGTCGCATGTGTTGCATATTTCCAGGCACTTAAGCTATTTGCCTGAAATGTGCACAACAACACACAGCACACAACTGACACACACACACACACACACACACACACACACACACACACACACACACACACAGTGAGTTATCATGTGCAAATGCAGCCTAACATGCCCCGCACCGCCCCTCCGCACCGCCCACACTTGCAGTTGAAGCCAAAAAAAGCACTCGGTATTGATTTTAATTGAAAAATTGTTAATTTTCCATGCCAGTAGCAGCAGCAGTCGCAGCAGCAACAGCCACGCCCCTAGCTAACACACACACAAACACACACACAAGCCGCAGCTCTTCAACCTTCTGCCAAGTGAACTTTTTGTGTGCTGCCAATTTTAGAGCTCGGTGTGTGTGTGTGTGTTAGTCTGAGCATGTGTTTATGTGTGTGTGTGTGTGTGTGTATTATTGTTGTTTTTGCTGCTGCTGTTGTGTTCTGTGTATGGGTAATTACACATTTGTGTGTGAATAATTTCCAACCCCGCAGCGCAGACTAAAATTCATGGCAACATATTTGTTCGCCTTGGATTTGGGAATTTTCGTATTTTAAATTTGAATTTGGCTTTGAAATTCGCATTTGCTGCCTCAAGTGGAATGTGTAGCACACTCGGGCATTTCAATAGTTACACACACACACACACACACGCACACTCACACACACACATACACACACACGCACAGTTCGAGCAGCTGTCCTATTGAAGTCTGTAAATTTGCAGGAAATGTTAATTGTTAAGGAAATTTCACAGAGTATACTCTCTTTCCATATGCACCATAAATGTCAGTGGGCCAATATCGAATTCTAATAATTCGATTTGATGATCTTAAGCGAATGCCCGGATACGCGTTCAGTCGGCGACTTCTATGCAAGTCAAGTAAAGTAAAGTTTATATATTTAGCTTGAATTAATATACATTTGAGTGCAGGCATCCTTTAATATATATATTAATATGTAGAAGTATATGGCCAGAGATTTGGCATCTTGGCAATTGGCAGACTGATCTTGAAATTGGCATGGGAGCAAACAATTTGAATACCTGGCTCGAAGCCATTCACAGGCCATCAGCTGTCAGCGGTAGCTGCTCAAAGCCTTAAGCCCCTCACAACTAATTTCTCAAAGAAAAAATGAATAAAAGTAGAGAAAGAGATCTGTGTAGAAGAGGCTGAAGAACAGCCTACAAGTTCTACGAAACTAATTTACTCAAGTGGCGACGCGTCGTGGGGCCAAAACGTTGCAACAGGCCACAATGGCCGCAGCTTGGAGCTTCAATAAAAGATTCAGATTCAGTTGGTTTCTTGAAACTGAAATATGCCATCGTCATTGGAGTTTTCGAGTAGCTGCAGCCCGATTGGCAGCCTCGACAACGCTGGCCATGGGAACCGAATCCGAAACCAAAACCCGAAACCGAAACGAGCCGAATCGGACGGATCGGGCGGATTCGGTGTGTCCAGCAACTGTTTGGGGCATTCGGGCAGACTTGTGGCAGACATGTCGACTCGCCGTTGCTGCCACTTGACGCAATGCCGTCTGCTGCGATCGGACGCCGCCGATCGTGTAGCCCCGGCTCGCTCTCCTGCTCTACCACATTGAGCCTGTCAACGTTGCATTTTCTCAGGCATTTTACTCAACGAATCTAGAATTCTGATGATCATGATCATAATGATGATCGTCGTCGAACTTGTTCAGTTTGGACGCCTGCCTCTGGCTGTGCCTTTGGCCGACTCGAGTACCAATTCGTTTAAAATGGTATCAGTTCTAAGAAAAATATTATTTTTTTATAATTTCTCGAGTGCGTTAATCTGTTGAAGAGTTGCCGGATCGAGTGGTTCGACCCTGGGCCCATGCTGCACTCGTTCGATCTTCGGCATTTGGTTATGTGCATAATCACGACACCCCGGCCGGACCCGGACCCGGACCTCACACCCCAAGTAGAAGTAGTTCTACCCCCCTCCCCGCACCCTGCTTGGTTGGTGTTGACGTGCCCCGCCAAACCAAAATGAAACGTCAATTTCAAGCGTTTTTCCTGGTAATAATTAGTAGCTGAGGTGGGCATTT